CCCCCCCCCCCCTCCGCAACTTAGCGGAGGGAGAGATGCCAGCGCGGTGGAGTCATGCCGCTGGCTTGGGCACCATTGGCTCATGCCTGGAACACGCAGCGGCGAGTACGCACATCTGGCGGCCAGCCCGGGCGGCTCCGGTCCTGATATGGAGAGAGAGGGCGGGCGGGTGCGTGTGTCCTGGCGTGCGAGGCCGGGAGAACGCTCCCCGGCAGGCGGCTCCCCGGCCGGCTCCTCCCCGAGCTTGCATCACCGGTCCCTCTTTTCCCCTCCTCCTCTTTGGCCCCTCCTCCCCGGCCCCCACCCCACCCCGGCTTTCGCCCAGCCTAGTTCGGCTGGTTCTCGGGGGAAGCTATTAATAGCATTACGTCAGCCTGGGACTGGTAACCCGGAGAAGGGCGCGCCGCCAGCCCGAGGGCTATAAAAGGGGTGATGCAACGCGCTCCCAGCCACAGGCGCACGCAGCAAGGCGCGCACTGCACAGCGCTCTCCCCGCGCCGCCGCTCCAGCGGACCCGCCAGCCCGCGCGCCGGCTGTGCGCCCTCTGTGCTCGCCCGCCGGCCCCACAAACAGCCCGACCCCACCCCGACCCCGTCCGCCCTCCGGACCCTGGGCGCCCCGAGTGGAGCCAGGAGGTGAGCGTTGGAAGCCGAGTGAGCGCGGCAAGGGTGGCTCGCTTTCATTCTCTTTGCGCCCCTCTGGTAACCAGTCGCCGGCCCCTGCGCCCACCCCCGACACTTGCCCCCCCGCCTCTGGCTTCGAAAGAACTCTGGCTGAACTTCTCCCAGCCACCACTGCTTCTCGGCGCTTTAGAAACTTTATCGCAAAGAACTTTCTCTTTTGACCTGGGGCACGAAATGTTCCTGGCAACCGAGAGGTCGGGCTCCCGCTCCTCCACTGGCGTCGGAGCACAGTTCCTCTCCGCCCTTGCGTTTACTTACCCCCTGGGAGCGGTCGACGGGTGGTGGGTGCTCAGGGTGTCCGAGCCTATCGGGCTCGCCGACCGGCTCCATCCCTTGCTCGGTGCGCGAGCCCAGCCTTCCTGAGAGGCGCGGAGGCCGGTGCTCGCGGAAGGGCTGCCCCAGGGGCGGAACGGAATGAATGGGGAAGGAGCGGGCGAGCCGGGGTCGCGCGCGCGGCCGCTGGGGGTCGCCCTGCCCGCCCCGGAGCGCCGGGAGGCAGGACAGCGCCGGTAGCCCCGAGCGAAAGTTAGTTGGGTAAGTTTTACAGAGGTGGCGCGCGCTCATGTGGCTGCCCTAGGGCAGAAGGCGGAGAGGCTCCCGGCACAGATGCCCAGTTTCTGGGCCGGAGACTTCCTGTCCCAAGTTTCTCCCACGCTTTTCTCTAGTACCTGTGACTCAAGCTCTGGCTCTTCCTCTGGCGTTTCGCGGATTTCTTTGCTTTCCATCGGGGAGACCCACCGTGGCGGGGAAGTGACAGTGCGAAGCCAGTTCAGGTCATTGAGAGACTGGCTCTGTGGTCTAGGGGGCAGGACCCTGAGAGCTTACACTGCACTTGATGTCCTGGGCCTCACTCAATATCCCCAGCTGGGAAATGTGGGCATATAGACACTCCTGGCCCCTCTGCCTGTTTGCGGGCACGAGGTGGTGGTTGGACTGGACAACCATTACGGTCCTGTCTGGACGAAGGTTTTCAGATTCTAGGGGGGTGTAATTGAAAGACAAGGGACCGATGAGGGGACTTGAGTGACTTGAATGAGGGGGCTTGGACGTCACTGGCCGGCCTCCGAGGCAGTGGGGGAAAAGGGACTTCTTTGTGGGGCATCTCTTCCCTTCCCCACGTTCTTTCCACTGGAATGGTTCTCCTTCTCTGCTCCCCCCCACCCTCTTTTCATCTGATCGAATCACTTCCTTTCCTTCTAACCATTTTCTTTTCCCTAATTTAATTTCCAAATCGCACATGCTTTGTTACAAATAAAGGAGCTGCTAATCCCTTGATGGAGCCAGAAAAAAAAAAAATTGGGTGCTAGAAAATCTGGGTGCTCTCTTAATGCACTTGTTTCAGTGTGGGTGATGGTCACATGTTTGGGGCCTCTGTCTCTTAACTTTAAATGAAGAAGAAATTGGTATAACTGTCCCCCTGTTTTGCACGTAGCATTTGTTGTAGAATAATGCTACTGCTTTGAGGATATCCTGGATGAAGACTGGGGTGGGGGTCGGTTTTAGTGTTATTACTGTCTGGGTGGTTTCAGAGGTAACACCGCAGGCAGCACCCGAGGCACACAGTGTGACTAATATACAGTACCCAGCACCTGTGGCAGCTATTGGAGCCTCCAGATCCTTCCTATCTTAACCCCACCATTCTCTCTCCCCCTCTTGGTCTTTTCTCCCCATTGTCCCCTTTCTTCTATACTCCCTCCCTGTCTTAGTCCTATCAAAGCCTCCTCTGTGGTGGGTACAGGTTCCTAGGACTATTGACCCTTCATCTACCTGGCCAATGGCTCTGTTCTCCATTTGCCTCGTTGGTTGATCCTCGCGGTGTTGAATCTCTGTTGGTGATGAAGCAAAATGAGCAGCAGGTGGATGGTCAACAGCTTGGCCTGGGCTGGGCCACTCGCCAGCTTTATGGCCTTGGGCAAGTCACTTTACCTTCCTGGACCCCATTTTACTGAATTACAAAATGAAGATCTGACCTGGACAACTCTAAGATTGGGTGTTCTATCCCATTGGATAGAGCTCATGATTTCTTCCCTTTTCAGATGGGCTGGGCATGGGACAGGGTCAGTGGTTCCAAGTGTTACTCGGCCTGGGGAGGAGGAAGTACACAGCCAGGACACGACAGGAACCAGAAACGGTTTCATGTGTGAGACCTGGTCATTTCTCAAGTACTTAAGACCAGTGGGGACAAGCTGGGGCCAGCAAATAGTGGGGTGGAATTGATCTGGTGCACCAAGAGCCCAGAGGTCAAGGTGCAAAAGAAGCTGTCTGTGACTGACCTGAATTTCTTGAGGGTTCCAGTTAATTCATGATTAATGGGGCTCAACTTCATTGACAGCAACATTACGAGTCCCCCCTGAAATGGGGAAAGTGGAATCACAGTAATAATGGCTACCCAGGATGTGTGTAAACCCACCTTCACATATCTCATATGATCTTCCTGATATCCCTGGGAGGGAACTGGGGCAGGCAGGTGGTATTGGTCTCATTTTACACATGAGGTGACTGAGGTCCAGAAAGCATGCCAGTGGGTGCTCAGCGTGTGAGTGGTAGTGATAGGCCTGCAAGCGTCATCTCTGTCCTGATGTCTAGCCTTATACCTACAACTGCAGTGTCTATATACCCACTTCCAGTGGGCTAGGAGAAACACCAAGACAGGAAGTTAGTGAAACAACTGGCTACCTACTGTAAGATGTTTTATGAGCAGTGCTTAGTGGAAAGAGATGAAAATTAAAAATGAAAATTCAAGGTAGTAGCAGCTACTAGGAAATAAAATCTGGGAGCTGAATTTCCAGTTAAAGAAATATATGAGTAAAGTTTCACTTTCTTGAAAATGATGAAACTACCGATTATATGACATGATTTCTGACTAGAGATAATGAAGCAGAAGCAAAATGCAGGTTCTTTGTAATAGGTCTGGACAATTTTAAGGTCAGTACAGAAAGTCAGCTCAGAAAATCCTCTAAAATTTTTTCTTCAAAGGGGGATGGATGTTCAAGGGTCTCAACTTTCTGAAAAACTGAAGGTTTAACTTCATTTTTCTTGTAGGGGCACAGCCTGAGTCTAGGCTGATCACATTTTAAGAGAATGAGGCAACAAATTACTAGAAAGTATCTCAAGAAACTGAACTTTAGCTGAGTGCAGGAAAAACCCAAATCGTTTCAGTTACAACTGCTTTACTTTCTGAAAGGCTTTTAAACATTTTTACAACCTGTTTCCATCCTCAAGTAAGCCCACCCAATGCTTTTCATAAAAACATTCCATACCACTGGCATTCTTCAGTTTCTTTCATCAGGACTGCTGACTTTACACTAAGAAGGGGGGGAAAAAAATCCCACACAGCAGACCCCAAGCCCTGAAAGCTCATTAATAAACTTGGGAGGTGAAATGGAACTAGGCTCAACTGTGGTGGAATTCAAACTGCCTGTGCAGAAGGAAGCCATGCAGTCCTTCAGACAAAGGCCAGCCCAGTGGTAGCTCTGAAATCCATCCCTGAACTACTGGGTTTTTAATAATGTTGGAAAGGGAGGGAAAACACAATTGCATGGGAGAATCTTAAGCCTCTGGCTTTGGAGAGCTGCTTTCTCAGAGTTTATCGGAAAAGTCTCCTCCCCGCATCCTAAGATTACAGGATTCAACTGACAGAAGAATATCAGTTCTGACTCATGACATAGGGCTTTGGGAAGAGAATCACATACATTTCCTGAGTTTCTCTGAATAGTCAACAATGGCGGTGTTCATTGGCCTGGAATTCTTGCCACCATCAGCGTATCTTGGATCTTACGGGGGATGTAGAGGTCAGGGTGTTGTATTCAGAAGTGTCTGAGATCAAAGATAGTGACCAACCACCCACCCACCTGGACCCCACAGAGCATCTGTTGGAGAGCCAGCCCTGGGCTGGACAGATCTCTGGGAGGCCCAATAATAACATATTTCCTAGTTGCATTATATTTTCCAGGGCATATTCAGGTATTATTTCTTCAATGCCTTGCACAACTCTGGGAAAATAGGGTGATTGTTTTTGAGACTTCTTTTACAGAGGAGAGAGAAGGCTCTGGGAGGTAAGATGATGACGCATAAGGAAGTGAGCCTCAAATCTTGATGTTCTGACCCCAGACTGGGAATTCCTGGATAAAAGGAACACATACTCCCTGAATGCAGGCAGCAGTTTGAGTGTGTACCCAGGCAGAGAAAGCTCAGGAATTCAATACAGAATTCACATTTTCCCCATGGCTCTTTGCTTAGTCTCCCTTCCATCACTTCAGTTCCAGGACCCTCACCCATCCCCATGCCTACTCCCAACCCTCAAGAAAAGTTTGCTCTGGCTTTCTGTTTGCTTTTACAATTTAGAATAATATTCTATGTTCTGTAAATTAAGGGCATGAGTTCTGGAGTCAAACTTAATTCCAAATCCTGACGCTGCCTCATACTAACCCTGTGACTTTGGGCAAATTATTTAGCTTGTCTAAATTTTAGTTACTTCATCCATAAAATGGGACTAGGATCTAACTGGGTTCTCATGAAGATTAAGTGAGATAAGGCACATAAGGGTTCTGGAATGAAGGAGGCACTTGTGAAATGTTAGCGACTTGCCAAAGGGCTTCTTTTCTGTCTGGATTTAGCTAATGACCTCAGGTCCCCAGATTGAGAGGGATGCTCCAAGGGGACCACCTGCCCTGAGAATCCCCACATACATCGCCCCTGGAGAACTGAAAGCAGGGATGAGGGGGGATGGCCACTGCTGGAGGGAGCATACAGCAGGAAGAGATTTATGGAGGGCTATTCCAAACTGGGACCGTGGAACCATTACTATTTCTGCCCTTTCTTGCTTGCTTTTTTTTGCCCCTTTGTCTTCCCTGGGCTGTAGAATGATAGGGGGTAGATGGGACCTCAGAGGCCATTTGATTTAACCGCCCCTTCCTCATTTCACATATTCAGTCGGATAGGCTCCAGCAGTCAACAGGCATTGGGAGAAGCCGGTGCCAGGGGCTGGGTCAGGCTCTGGAAAGAGCAACAGTGGAGACTCCATCCGGTGCTGTAGGAGTTCCCAGACATTTGTCACATAAAGGCTGAGACTCAGAGAGCTCGGGTCACACCACTCCTTAGTGCCAGAGCCAGTCCCAGGCCCCCTCTGAGCCCGGCCCAAGCCCTTCCAAACATCACAGGGCTGAACAACACTCCCCAAAAGAGGTCCAAATTCTGAGCTCCTCACTTTTCTTTACTCTGAGGTCTTTTGCTTCACCAACCTTTACCTTAAGAAAGGGCTACTCGAGTCCCTTGTGACCTGAATTCCCACACCCCAGCCAAACTGGGGCGAAGAAATGCACCTGCTACAGTTACTGTCCTCATTCTCAATGACTTGGGTCCAACTTCCCAAGGGGGAAGCTTCAGAGATATATCTGCTAAATTCAAAGGTCCCCCACTCCTTGCTTTTACTTCCACTCACTGATAGATTTAACTTGATTTCAGATACCTTCCAAGTTTTTTCTTTTTTTTTTTTTGAAAAGGAGACTGCAAATGGGGTTACATAATAGTCTCACTGATTTTTTTTTAACGC